CAAAAGCAAAGAAACATGTAGATGTGGTTTATCAAAACTGTGAACACAGAACATTGCCAGTGTTCTCAAAGTATTGAGTGTGAGAGATTGATCAAATAATTTGCAGCACTAGCTTTCATTTTTTTTTCCAGATACTGACTTTTCCATCTGCAGCGGGAAGTTCCAGTTCCAGAAATGCTACAAGCTAGTCTGCTGAAAGTGGAGCAAGTTGCCTTGCAGTGACAGAGGGAAACTGCCTGACTGTAAATAGTTCCTTAGTGTCTAAAGCTGCAGTTTGAGAAAAATTTGGTTTGACACAAGCTCTCAACAAAACTATAAAAATACCTGCCATTTTCCTTCCCAGTCATACTGAGCTCAGACTCAGGTAAAATAATTGGCGAATATTATTTCCATAACCTGGTTCTCTCTTCCAGCTTTCCAAAAGTAAACAAGTAGAAAATCTCTGAAGAAAAGTTAAGAAACAAATGAACACTTGAAAGAGGATTTTAGGGGCTGTCAAATTTAGTGCTAATTGCTATACTAAATCCAGATCTTCAGAGAAGCTTCAGTTATGGTATTTTTTTGAAAGATGTACAAATTCTGTGACCATGAAGAGGTTCATGTAACTATTAAGAGTATATATATTTTTTGGACATGGATGTCATGTTCTGTTGGTCACACATGGAATTTATAGTACATCTCAGAGAAGCTCTTATATAGGCATAGTTTGACCCCAAATCTACAGACTTCCTCCTCAGTCTCTTTGTTTGGCAAAATACACAGTCCTCAAAAACCAATAGTCCTGATAAACAGTCAACTTGTCTTTCATGAGTTTTATCAAATATTCATCTCTTCTGATAGCATTTTAACTCCAATTTAATACTGATACTGGAAGATCAGTTTATTAAGTTTCTATTGGCATTCAAAAAAATAAAACCAGTGAAACTTTAAATTATTTAACACTTTTATTTAAATACATGTTTCCAAATAGAGAGCTATTGAATTACCTTTAAGTCTTCCATAATAAATACTTCCATTTTCAGTCTTCGGAATGTTAATGTCTAACTTTCAGTCTTGTTTCCCTTCTGAGCCAATATACAGAAGGTGTGATGCTAACCAAGAGCAAAAACTTTATTCCAAAAGGTGAAAGCAGACAGAAACATGAATAACTGAGAAGGAGAGAAAAACCTGATAGTTTAGTTTTTTGAAAATTTTGTGCTGTATGTATGAAGATACTGATATGTGACTGTGTGCCTGCAGATATTGTTAATTATACCATCTATATGTGATTATTGTCTTGCCAAAGGAACGAATACAGCTCTAGGTAGTTGGTTACTTCTCTTCTTAGTGTAAGCCTCCACCTGGAAGTTTTTTACTATGTGGCTGTGTTATTGCACTGTAAGTCTAAAAGCAAAGGAAGGTATACCCTAGGGCAAATTGCTATTTACATCTATGCAGTAATCTGGTGGGTTTTCAGAACTCTGTCAATCATTTTGAAGAGTGTTAAAGGAAATATAACCCACATAGCAAGTTTGGTAAAGAACAGTTGAAGAAAGAGAGGAAATGTTATGGCTTTCCACGCACAATGAAATCTGCATTGGCTGATGGGATGTGCAGCTTAGCCCTCAGAAAGGTAGGGCTTGAGGCAAGCTAGCACCTTTGTTAAAAAAAACAAACAAACAAACAAAAAGAGAAACACAGCAGAAATCCCTTTAATAAATGATGTTTTGTTCCTCTTGAAATGCGTGTGCTTTGGAGCCTGCTGATAGCAAAGGCAAACGTGTATATCTAAAATGTTTCTTTGACATTCTGCTTAGGTGTGCATTTGTCAGAGGGCCTAGTTTAAGTATGTTAAATACAACAAGCTCAAGCTTCACATATTCCAGGAAAAAATTACTGCATTGAAAAAAACTGACACTCAGGATATTTAAGGGTGTTTTGATATATGTTATACACCAAGTGACACCTTGCTTTTGGATGATGGAAAGTTTTGCTAATTGTATTGGGGGTGACTGGAAAGCATATAATTCAGAATATGATTAAACACTTTCAAATTTTCTTCAGGAGTGACAATTTCCATTTGGGTTAAGGTATTAATCTATTTCATCTTTTCAGTGACAGTCTTGTTTCCATTTTATTCATTATTTTTAGTTGCTAACAACTTTCTTTAATATTACAGAATTGCTATGGTATAAGTAGAATGCTGTTTTCTATTTCATTTCATGCTTGCTCTCGGAATTAGTAGGAGAGAGAAATTCTTGGAAACTGGGACAAGATCTATGTGAAAGCAGTTGCTCAAAGCTCAAGATGTGTCAGAATCAAAATGCAGTGAACATATGTTGAAATCTGGCCTTGTAGGCGAGTGATTAAACAGGATCTTGCAGCAAACTTGCTTTAGTACAACTGCATTTCTGGCTTTAAAATGAATCCATATTTTTAAGGTTTGTGGCATTAAAAAAGTATTTATGTTATCTCTATATTGGCCACATCGGAAAATTAAGCAGTAAAAGGGAAATGTTAGAGTGGCCAACATCAGGACAGGTTGCTTAAAGAGGCTGTGGAATATCAGTCTTTGGAGATAGTTTGATCTAGGCCACAGCTGACCCTGAAGAACATGACCAAGCATTGTCTTCAAAGCCAGCTTTGCTCTGAGCAGGAGGAAGGACATGTTCTTCATTATTCTGTGATTCTAAAGAGCACAGTAAAAATGGCATTATGCATTATCTAATCATTTGGAGGCTGCAGATTCCATTTAATGATTTCCTAAAAAAAAAGCAACAGAAGAAGCAATTTTAGATTTCATTCTCGCTTTTTTTTTTTTTGATTACATATCATCTGAATTTTAGACCAAATGGCATTGACTAAGATTTATGCATCTTTTGGGTTAAAACAAAAAGTAGCTCATGCTGTTTTTGCAGAGGACTAGCAAATTTGAAGCTTGAAGTCTTTGTAACATAATCTAAAGTGTTACCTAAATCAACGAAGTCAGCTGAATAGTTCCAGGAACATCATTCAGCTGTAGATTTTTGTCTCTAATTATAATTTAATTTAATGAGCTAATTTAGAATAATCACGGAATTTAATAAAGCCTTTCTGTTTTTCAATATGACATAATGTATGGAAAAATGATTAGACATCTAAATTACATGCTGTCTTCTCATTTAAAACTGATAGCCCTTCATTACCCTTGCTTCTCAAAACTGACTCAGAAGTGGAGAGGTGCAAGCTCATGTTTGCAAGTTCACTTTACAGATGGAACATTTAAAGACAAAGCTTTTTGTATTGTTTTCATCTTCTTTTGGAATGACTTTTTCTTTTTGGGCACTGTGAAAATATTGGTGCAGAAAAGTCAAGGAAAAGAACAAAATTGTCTGGGCTATGAACTGACAAGTGCTAAAGTTTTGAACTTGTGCATGTGTGTGTTTTTTCAACCACTTTGAAATAGGTAAGATTTTCAAAGTATCTAAGAGGGAGTTATTTACACACTTCTGCCCAAACATTGTTGCTATTCCTGGTCGGTAAAGATCTCTCTTAGTCCTACGCAGGTCAAAATATTTCATGTGATGTAAGCTGGGATGGTGTCACTGTCTCAGCTTGCTAAGAGCTGGTGCTGATGGAATTTATATTGGTAGAAGAATTAAAAAGACTAGAGACAGTATTAAAACAAATGGGCTCATTTTTCTTCCCAGTGGAGCCCTATTTTGACTATCTGAGGTGGCAGTACAATTGAGTAGCTTTCTTCAGATACAATCTACAAGGGATCAGCACATCTACTGAGTCAGTTAATTTTTTATATTACACTTGATTGTTGCTGTATTGCTGTAATTCATCCCCGTGGCCATGTTAATATTTGCTGCTTGAGAATGACTCAGCTGTGAGGCGAAAAATCCCTTGGATTGAAGCTGAGCCTCAGCCTCCTGCATGTGAGCTCAGGTGTATGGGAAGTGGGGAGGAGGAAATGCAAAGCAAAGCAGCTCTTTGAATTGAAAAGGGAACCTTGTAAGTTGGGGTGAGGCTTTGTCTTATCTGCCAGGAACAGGATTTGGGATCACAGGGCTGTCAGTGCTTTTGCTTAGGTTATTTTTGTCAAGTGGCACAGAAGTTTTGATTTTTGTTTTGATTCATGGTAGGCTGAAATAAAAGGTTTTAGTACTCAGACACTTTAAAGTGGTCTTTTCTTAGTTTCAGCATGAATGCATGTGTATATCTTTATAGAATACTAAAATTCAAAACAACCAAAATCATGTTTTTAAATTTTGGTGTGCTAATTACAGAATTATTTTTTTAAAATCACTGGAGTGATGATGACTATCTGACTCAGAGTTTTTTAACAGAAATGACTATAAAATGTGTTAATGTGTTGTCATTTTAAATAAGCTAGGATCTTAAGTATAGGAATAATTTCCATCCTGTCTCATTACGTAGGCAATGGGTTGGTTCATGGGAGTGCATCCATTGGAGGGAGATACTTCGAGTCAAAACTAAAATATTTTTTGTTTCACAATATTTATTTGTGAGTCTTTTTCCCACTTGTGATTTAGTACAATCTTATTGGCATCTTTAAAAATATTAGGCCCATTTCTGAGCAAATTGTCTGGTATTCTAAAGACCATCATATAAATGCCTTCACACTGCATTAGGCAATATGTTAATTTGCATATATATGTCAAGAAGACCTTAATTAGGCAATGTATTTGACATGCGTGGGCTGTGTAGCTTCACTATCTTACTAATCAAAGGGAGACATTCCTTCCTTATTAGCAGAATTAAAGAAGAGCGACCCATTCAGAGGAAAAACTTCAGATGTTTTGGCAAACTAATTTGCGTTCTATTTTGAAATGTTTCACTGTGTGCTTTTGCTTTACAGATGAACTAAAATTACCTTTTTTCTTAGGCCTAGAAGTCTGTTTGATGGTGTTAGCTGGTGATGACTCCAGTGTTCACAACTTTACATTGCTTTTATGATAACAATGTGGTTGAAACATTGTATTTTCACTTCTTCCATTTTGATTTTCTTGTAGACATTCCAGCAGTCTTCTCTACAGCAGAAAAGTAAAAAGAAGAACAAAGGTAAAAGTTAAATTTGTTATCCTGTATTGGTAGGAAGGGAATTAGCCAACATTAAAACTTTTGAGCTCCAATCAAGTGATACGTTGAGAATGTGTTAGTCCATTGCTGATGTCTTGTAGTTTCCTAATGCTTCTCTACTTGCATGTATCTACTGCTAGAGGCTAGCCTTTTTGAGGCCAGGGTTGTTTTTTCCATCTGTGCATGTAATGCCATTCTGCAGCCTTTGCTCATTATCTTAGCTGTGAAGTACTTTATGTCATAGTAAATTGTCCTCCTTTCATTTAGAAGTACAACGGCCTTAGGAATTGTTTAGTTGCAAAAGGAGCTGCAACATGAGGCTTTTTAATACTCATGAAGTACTTACATAGTTGTATTTGGCAGCTGGGTGTGAAAGTACATGCGTTTTCATACTGTGTGCTTTAATTTGATGTGAAGTATCAATTTGTTGAAAATTACAAAGAGCCGTTTTTCTTATTATTAAATACCTTGCCTTTCTTTTCACTATAATGTCTTCTTTCTGTCTGGTTTTTTTTTTTCCTGTCATATCCATAGAGTATGACGTCTGTGAGGTGCTGGTTTGTTTTGGTTTTTAAATTAGGGGGCCTGGTATGGACTTTGTAGTTGAAATAGGATGTTTGTAATAATTTATTCATGGCAAATTGAGGTTTAAATTTTGAATTAATTTTCTTAAGCATATATATAATGCTTTCTGGCTAAACAGTCTTTTTGACTTAGTGGACAAGTCAAATGCTTTCACATCAACTCATCATTTTCAGCTCCTATTCCTGGTAAAAGCAAAAGACGGATCTCATGTAAAGATCTTGGTCGAGGGGACTGTGAAGGCTGGCTTTGGAAAAAGAAAGATGCCAAGAGTTATTTCTCCCAGAAATGGAAAAAATACTGGTTTGTCCTGAAGGATACATCTCTATATTGGTATATCAATGAAGAGGTAAGCATCTGTGGCCATTTTCTCAACAAATACCCTGTGTAGTGCTGTTGTCATGATTGAGTGGGAAGCCAGTGCTTTGAGTGCTTATATATGTCAATAACATTATTCACCCAAATAATCATACTGAAATTAATATGAACTGCCTGACTGAAGTACCATTAAGGTACAGAAATATTTGGTCCTTCAAATTCACCTTTTACTAGTAGGAGCAATAACACACTTTGTGTCCTGCTCTCACCAGTTTAGAATAAACCTATGCTCAAACCTGAAAGGGAAAAAGGTTGTTACTTAATCCTGTCATTCAAGTTTAGTCATCAGAATGTAAACTCTCATAATGTTGCTGCCTGGTGTTCCTTATTTATCTGTGCTAGTGGAATCACCAAAACCTCTGGCAATTAAGATGCTTTTGTTTTCTCAGTTGTGTTCTCCTGTCATTCCGTCTTTGTAGCTATTGACACAATTTCAGAGCTTGCATATGCTGAACTTCAGAGTGCTGGAGCAGCCCAGCTGAGTTGTGTACAGCTTTAATTGTGCAACATGTTCTGCAGGAGTACACATTTATTTACATCAGCTTTAGCAAAAAAGCTTTTTGCCACTGAGCTAGGAAACCTTAAGTTTAAACCCCCTTAGTCTCATTAGTAAATATCCTGCGATAAAAGCATTGCCAACATGTGAGCGCACTCGGTCCTGGACTGGTTCTTTAGATTGCTGCAAGCATTTGTACATAAACTTTTTAAAAAATTGTGATCCCCATTTGTTTCCTGAGCAGACAGAAAGCTGCTCCATGAACAGTTACTGAAGCCTGTATTCCCACAGACTCATCCCATTTGTGCCTTGATCCCGGCTTCAGATCAGTAACCCTAACTCCTCTCCATCCTCCCTCTGCAAGGTCTACTACAAGGTCTTCATCAGGTTGCTAATCCATGTTTACAAGTATGATGATCATCTGATCACACTGTCACAACTGATGGTCATCAGCTGTGGGCAAGGGAGCAGGTGGAGCCGCTGAGTTGTGCCTTACTGTCCTTTGGAGAGGATGGTGGTCTGAGCGCCTCTATCTCCCCTTTGTCCCAGATTTCCCTGAGACTTGCTAAGACTCAGTTATTTTTGAAAGGCCAGGTCCCTCACCAAAGTGCCTGCAGTCACCAGTAGATTCAAAAGCTGACAGAGGGAGCCTCAGTGGCAGATGGACAGACACCCAGTGTTCTTGCCATAATTTTGTTCCCTTAGACAGCCATGCAAAACAGAAATAGCAAGATTATTCTAAACAGTGTCCTTTCAATTTTAATAGACCTGCTAATGCAGAACTGGTTACAACCTTGTACCTTCCGTAGAACCTTCCACTGGAACTGGAATTCTAGTTGCAGTTTTATATGCTGATTTGTGTATTTTATTTATTTTTAATAAAGCGTATAGTCATATAGATTGCCTATGTAGCATAAATAATGATGGTGATTCTGAGAAAAAGATGTAACTGTGTGGAATTCCTTAACATACACTTGTGTTTTCTACAGCTTCAGTTTTATGACTGTCTTAATTTCTCACGCAAAGTTACAAGCAGTTAAATAAGAGAATCTGTGTTATTGATGTATTAGCAGCTTAAAAATAAGGAATGCTTTCCAATCATGAAAAGCCAAGGGAGATTGAATATCTGATGAATTATGTGCAAGTCTTTAAAGGGGAGGGAAGGAAGGTCAGATATCTTCTCTCTCGTCTGTTGGAGAGCAATGAAAGTAGCTGAAGAGATATCATCCCTCCTAGCTATGATATTATATTAAGATGGTAAACTGAACAGCCCACACTGAAGTTGATTTTTTTTTTTCCCTATTTCCTACAGAAGGCTGCAATTCCTCTTACTAATTAGTCCATCTTTCCCCAGAATTAACTAATTGCAATAACTAATTGCCTGAATACATTTGGTCAATTTGTATAGTTTACATGCTGGTTCAGCTGTGAAATTGTTTGAGAAAACCAGGTATGTAAAATTGTATTTTACACCAAGGGATCTGCGTTACTACTTTGGCAGAAGTCCCAGAGACTTCTGTGGGAGGCTTGCCAGCGCCGAGCATATATTAGTACTCCTTATGTAAGAAGCAGGCAAGTGAAAATATCTTTAAGTTTTCAGTGTGGTGGGGCATTTTTCTGACACCTTAACCACAGTAATATCTAGAACTATCTTTGCAGGATGAAAAAGCAGAAGGATTCATCAGCCTACCTGAATTTAAAATTGACAGAGCCAGTGAATGCCGGAAGAAATAGTAAGTATGAATCCTGCAAGAAATAGCTACTATGAGTAAGTAGCTCAAACGTAATGCAATGATGTAATAGAAAAAGTGGAAGAAAGGACAAGGTTTTCCCTTAAAGCAGTGATGTAATGGACTTTATTACAATGAACATTTGATTGTATCACAGAATAAGCTCCTATAGGACATGCCCATTGGATGTGGTTTCTATGTGCCATCTTTGCTGAAGAAGGGTTTTTTTTTTTACTTTATCATGAGTCACAGTGCTTGGCTAGAGCAAAATGAAACAAGAACAAGAAGACTGCCTGACTGCTGCTGTGTTTTCCTAGTTTTTCTTTCTTGTTTCCTTTCTGGTTTGGGTTTTTTTGTTTGTTGGGTGTTGGAGTGTGTGTGTGATACATTTAAACTCAGTAAAGAGCTGTAAGCATAATAAAGAGACCATCCAAATAAAAAAGTCCCCATGCCTATGGCCAGGCATCAAACTTTAATGTAACTCCAAATCAGTTCACATCATCTCAGCGTTTGCTGACAGTCTATCAGTCCTGAGGCAGAGTGAAAAAAATAAGAGAATGACAGTGATTTGCTGTATTGTTGAGGTATGGCCTAAAGGTCTCAAATAACTTTTCTTCTTACCTAGCTGTGTACTGCTGTCCAGATTGTGCCATTGCACAAATCCTTTTCTTATTTAGATGCAAATTCAAGCATATGCAGCAACGTGGCAGGTTCATACTCCCACAGAGGTATTTGTAGAGTCATTACTGTTGAAAACTTTTTGCCTTGCCTTCTAATGGTTTTTACTCTTAAGTTCATCAAAATGAGGGAATCACTGAAATTTGTAGAGAAAAACAATTCAAAAGTAAAAAGGTATGGTTTGTAATAGATACAGTTCTAAAGAAGGCACTGATGTTGTGTCTGTTGGTCTGTGTAGCTCTTCAGGATGAACTCTATCCTTCATGATGGTCTCAAAGAGAAGAAAATTAAAACTGCATTTAAAAAAATACATCAGTTTGGGCTTATACTCCTGTGTTCTTGGGCAACATTGCTGCAGTGCTTCATTTTTTCTTTTTTGTCAATGTCAATTCATTTCTCAGAATTATAACCTGCTTAAATTCAAGTTGTTTTAGTTAATTTGGTATCTACTGGATAATAGAACACAAAATGTGGCTGTTAAAATTTCTTGCTTGGGATGCAGATAAATAAAACAACCTCTAAGAATCCAGATGAGACATGCTGTAACAGTTTTAAGGAGTCGAGTTTTGGGTCTCAGTAATTTGATGATGTCTTTCTAAACTGAGCTGATGTTACTGTACATCTTGCATAACATTATGTCAGGCTCTGATGCATTAGAGGACTTCTTTTTCTCTCAGTTTTACATTACCTTCACTAGCACTAACTTTCCTGGATATCAATTTCATATCCCTGATTTCTTATAACCTCTGTTCATATATTTACATATACATCTGTGGAATATATGTAAATGTACACAGACATATATATATTGAAAATTGCAAGCATGATACACATGAGGAGTATCATATACATTACACAGTGGATTAGGAAGAGTGAGAAATATATTATATTCAGATTTTTTTAACAGATATACAAAAAAAATCCATTGTGTCTCAGAAAAATGGTGATGTTCTTTGTGTCATGTTTGCAGTCATCCTTATTTTCTTTGGGATGAAGTATTTTTCTTATTTTAAGAGAGACCTTCAGGCTCTTCTCAAAAATTATTCTTCTATACTGTAAATTATTAATTACTTTCAGATGCATTTTCTGGATCTTCAAGTACTTCACCATAAATCTTTATCCAACTCAGTTAAAAAATTCTTTCTAGTAATTTATTTCATATCATGTATGAAATGCAGTAATTCTCTCCACCCAGCCATGTTGATTACTTTGGTGGAAAGAAAAGATGAGATGTAATTGCCCGTTGCTAAGAATGGCCTCAAGAACACAGTGTTGATTTATAACAGCTTTTCAGAAGTCAATCAGTGCATCACATTTTTCTGTTTGAAATGCAGTCATTAGATCTAAAGGTAATGTCAAGGTCATTGGGATGTGAGACATCAACAGGACTGAGACTTTTTCTGTTGTACCAAATAAATTGTCACATCCCAGTACATTAATTATATCCTTAATTGGTTAACTTTATCCAAATACAGGTGGTTGTTGAACAATATTCATGCACATATAAATTGTGCATTATTTAGAAAGGAGTAGTTGAAGAGCACTTTACTTGGTAAAATCTGGCACAATTCTAAAAGTTGTATGTTTACTTACTGTTTGGAGGCATCCAACAACTCAAGAAATCTGAACTCATCTCATTACTTTGGTGATGACACTGTCTTACATTTTAAAAAAAAACTTGTGCCATTACATTTTTATCATTCTGTTTTTCCTCTACAGTGCATTCAAAGCCTGCCATCCTAAGATCAAAAGTTTTTATTTTGCTGCTGAACATCTAGATGATATGAACAGGTAAGGAAATCTGGCAAAGTTCAAGGAACCATTCCTCACATGTGACACTTCTTGAAGCTAGTAATAACACAGTGACAGTAAATTACATGTTAATATAAAAAAAAAATTAATAGCTGAGAAAATAAAGTGCAGAGTAGCATTGTTTGAGTGACTGCATATGCCAAATACTCAATTCATGCAAAAATCTTTTTTTCTTTATTTAACCAAAGGTTTGAAGATATTTAGAAACAAGATTCCCTCTTTCTAAAAAAAAAAAAAAAAAAAAAAAAATACAATGTGTGAAACAACATCCAAACACAATTTCACAATTTCAGAATTCCAGGTTTCTGCTTTTGGTTGTGTGACACCTGCAAGGGTGCAATATCTCCAGCTCTGCTTCTTAACATACTCCCAGAGGCATGGTGCTTGCTCTGGGGATGCTCTGTGTCTGGTCCTAGGAGGGAATGAGAAGTTGGAGAAAGATTTAAAGCAATCACTCATTTTTCTTCTGTCAGTCTTGAAAAAGGAGGTAGAGATTGCAGGAATAAATTTTGAAGAATCTCTCTAGTACTTTGAATTTAACTTACATGTTGAAGTGAAAATTTTGTTGTATTGAATTTATTGGGGAAAAATTCAGCAATTCAAAAAGAACAAGGACTTAAGACTTACTTTTTCAGCATTGGGTATTTTAAGCCACTTGTGCCATTTTTTCAGGAAAATGAGTCTTCAGCACAAAACAAACACAGTTCCTCTTAATTAATTTGAATGGTAAATTAAAAACATGGATCTCATGTCTATTCAAATATTTGGGGTTTTATTTTATGTGTTTTCACAATGTAAACTGACATTAATTCAGTTCAAAATAATACTCCATTTTTGGCATATGACAGAGGACAAACAAATCTATTATTGCAACTTGAGAATTGTTCTATCTTAAGTAATACCTGTGGACATCCTTGCTGAGAAAAATTGCTTTTAAAATGGAGGGAAAAGGAGATAGATAGAACTCAATCCATAAAACTCTTAGTAAGTGCTGTAATCATAGTTAAATCTCCCCTGTGTGTACTAGGTTCAGGTACCTGGCAGAGCACCTTCGGGGTACTGCCAGTTCTTTACTGATAATACTTGACTGAAAAGTATGTCGATACTATACCATGCTTGCTTTCATTTAGAAATAGCTGTCTGTTAACACTTTTTCAAAAGTTCATGCGTGACTAAGGCTCACTTCAAAAGTCTCTCCTCAGTCAGAAAACTTAAAACCTTTTTAGTTGTTTGTAAAATTTTACGCTTACTTTTTTTTATAGGTTTTCCTTGATAATTCTGTCAAGCCAGTCACTCAAAACACAGTTTGCTGCACAACAGAGTAACAGCATGGTCTGTTCACCATATCCTGAACTACAGCAGTAGATAAATCATTTCTGTCAGCAGGTCCTCAGTTGGTATGACAGGCACCTTGTTTCTAAGGATAGAAAAGTATATAACTGTTCAGTAGTCAGAAAGCAGCAGCAAATATGCTTCAATTCTTTAAAAATATATTGCACAGTCTAACCCCCATAACTAAAAGATTTTTGCCTTCCCAACACAAATAGTCTTTTTATTATATTTTGAAATAAATGCTTATTAATTCGTTCAGAATGCGCTTGACCAAATTTTGAGCTGAGTTATACATATGTAAATTTAAATTCTGTCAAGGTCTATGGAATTACTTGAAATTCTTACATCTGAGTTGCCGTCAGAATCTCACCAAACAATTTAATTATTTCTCTTTGTTTACTGTATTAAAAGTCCACTTTTGCAAACATTGAATCAATTCTCAAGATACTAGGAAAAAAAAAAAAAAAGGGGGTTACTGAAAAAGATCTTTCAAATGCAGAGATAATAAAATCCTTCCTGTCTAAAAGCATCTTGTACCCTAGCTGAAGTCAAACACAGGATCACTATTGAGTTAAATAAAGACTGTTTTTGTCAATTTCTGATCTTTTTTTGTGAAGTTTCTGATACACATTTTGTTTATATATCATACATATATGCAATCATATATATGCAATTATTTTGGTTCTGTTTGTACTTGAAATTAAAGCAGAAAACTGCTAATACATAGTCTAGCTTAAGTTTCAAAATGGTTCAATTACTTCATCTCTTGCACAAAATCGTTTAGTTGTTTTTTATAAAAAGCTTATGCAGGATATGAAGGTTTTGTTTCTGTATATATACTCACATAAAATGGGTGTTTTAATCTCAGTTAACTGTCATTATTCAAATTTTCTTACTACTTTTATGACTGTGCCACACGACTATGCTGGTAAGGAATCTGGAGACCTATGATCACTGAACTTTTATTGTTGTGGTGTCTGAAGTTCCTTTCCTCTGCATGGTTGCACCAGCAAAAGTGTTCTTTCTACCCGTAGAACATGCTTAGTCTTGGTGAGAAGAAGGGTGGAATATCCTGTATTGATGCAAAGTACTGTTTTGCTAGTGTAAGTGTATAGTCATAGAAACACCTTGCTTGGAAATTCATTGTTATTCCCATTTCAAAAAGGATATCCATTTATTTCTACTTGATGATACTGTATGTAACTTTATTTAGATTTTGTGTAGTAATTGGGCCTGCTGCTTTATGGACTAACTATTTGATCTTTTCTTGAAATGATTAAGGACAATTTGACATCCTGTTTTGACTAAAAGCATTGCATCTACCTGGAGCATGAGACAAAACAGACAAATATTTCCTACTGTTCTGTGAGAATGCCAGTACTGTGCATTCTTCCTTACAGAAGTTACAGGTCTACAGAAAGATTGGATTTTTTTAATGCTGTTCTGTGTCATAAAATTGTTTCATTTACATACTGACAAGAAATGTATGTGCTATTCTTAAAAAGAAAAAAAAAGAAAACCTAGATGAATGCTGCAACTACTAGTGCTACTGTAGTTATTGTCATACCTAAGAAATAGGTTTTGTAATTCTCACAAAAAAATTAAAGCTGTATTTGCAGTAAGGAAGGAATATTTTCTTGGCCTCTTGCCCTCTAAAAGTTATAGTGGCTACCAGGATGCAGCATACCACAGGGGAGAAAGATGTAAATCTTCCCATGTCCTAGGGTTTTTTATCTTTCAGTATTCATAGTAAGGAATATTTGTATAACTGTACTCTTGGAACTTTCATTCCCAGTGCACTGTAAAGCAGGCATGTTTTACTCCCATTCCATTCTGCAGAAGATCTTTACATTTCCCTGTGATATAAGCCCAGTATTCTGGATTTCTCATGCAATTCTAACTTCAATGAACCATAACTTCAGCCATACGTTATTAAAATTATTTTCTAACCACACCCATTCTAACCATATCTAAAGAAGTTTTAGCAGCCACATATCAGAAAATAGGCAGAAGTCAGTACCACTATTTTAGTTTCTAAACTAGCAAACTGCTGAAAAGCTGTGGTTGTTAACATTTTACACCCCACAGGCACTGCAGGTGATATTCCAGACCATGACACAGTTCATGACCTGCAGAAAAACATGAAATGTAAAGTCAGTCTGCTGTCTCTCTCCAGACTGGTATACATTTCCTGGGTTCTCATTAGATACTTTTCAGGAAATAATGTTTTTCTAGAAACAATCATCTACTATAGCTGTAACCAGCATCAATTGACTGTCAATTAGTGTTGGTAATATAATTGATTACCTCACTCTCATGCACAGCTAATATTAAATGCTATCTCATATTTAGGACAGAATGAAGTTTTCCAACAGGAGAACCTCTATAGGTGCATTATCTAATACTCTGTGGTCAGCAGCCCTATCCAAAGGGCTTCAGTAGGTGGTTTTTCCCTCCTGGCTGTGCTGGGGTTGGTGAGCTGTGAGCTGAATTAGGAACGTGAAATCCAAAATGGGCGAAAGGCAAGTGAAGGGCGAGTTCCACTGCCTGCCATGTTATCTGACAGAGCAGGCACTTCTGACTTTGTGCTTCTTTCACCCTTTGGATGCAGACAAGTCAGTGGGCTTTGCTGGTCCCTCAGCAGCATGGGGCTGGAGTACTCTAGGAGAGGTTCCTGCCTCAGTGCCTCTGATTTGGGCTGGCAGAGCTGTCGAGACAGCTGAGCATTATTCCCCAAAGAAACCTTTCACATACCAGGAATGTGAACCTAAAGCTTTGAAGTGGATCACCTTTCTGCTGTGAAGATGTGAAATCATTGTCTGAGACATGATTTGTTGGATTTCTTTTCCTGTGTGCCAGTTGTTTTTATAAGTGTATGGCACTTCCTAACAGGTACAACTGAAATTTTAAGCAACTTCTTCAGCTTCCCTGTTCTTGCATGAAGTATTCTGTAATCACTTCAGGAGTAAACCTTTACCTTTCTTCCCAATGTACAGTGATTTATGGACCATTAACATGATTTATAGATCATATATATGATCACTGTTTGTGGAAAGACAGTGACAGGAGTTAATTTTGAAGTGAGCAACAGTATTTTATGATCTGATGCCTGCTTACCCTGCAGTGAAGGAGCGATCACAGAGGTGTACCTCCTGCCGAGACAATACTACAGCCTGTTTCTGGGCATACAGTATGCAAGTGAAGCCCATCAGGCACAGTTTTCTGAAACAGGGGATTCACATTCTTGAAGAAAATACAAGCCTGCCTTCAGCTGTCCTTCTGTATACCATAGCAGCAGAATTGCAAGCCGGTAGGCTGGCAGACCAGGCCTGTCAGATCTTCACTATGGGATGACTGGGGCAAGTAATTCAAAGTTTACCGTGGAATGGACAACCACAGGAGATTGTCATGGTGCTTCAAAGCCATGTTTATGGAGGACGTGATCTAGTGTAAGGACTTGGATAATGAGTACACTGAGAGCCTCATTGGGGAAGAGGACAGGTTGAAAGAGTCCACTGCTAGAGGCAGTCGAGTGTATGCTTGGCAGTGCCAACTCTGTTGAAAGAGAATAGCAGTAGTTTTGAAGATTTTTTTTTTTACCTTGTGCAGCCTATGGAAGCATTTTTTCAAGTCTAAGTTGAAGTTAAAGCCTTAGATGTGAATTGCATTGAGGCAATTGTCTTTTCTTCCACTGCTTCTCTGACATGAACACAAAAGTGAGTTCTGATATGCCTCCTTCTCTTTGTACTTGGCACTGCAGGTAAGCTCTAAAACACATAATGGCATAATTAAACGTCACTGTCTGTTTGGGAGTGAACCTGTTCTATTTATTTCTGGTTTCTGCTCTGTTCCTTTGCTGAGTTGCCAATTCAGGCCTTAAAATATTGCTTAAATCTCTGAAAAGTGGTGTTTATTCTTAAGAAATCAGAACAGCAGGAGTATTGGTTTGATGGCATATCTGTAAGCAGCAGATTTAATAGCTCTATGATTATCTCCAAATCCTTTATCTTACAGGTGTTTGACATCATACATGGTTTTCCATTTGAAATAAAATCTTTACTGTGAAAACAATTTGCTCAACAGCAAAATCATAGATCCTTGGAGACTCCCTGAGTAAGAGGATCAAAGAAAACAGCTGTCTAATATGAAAAATAATGTTGTCCTGAACCTCCTTCAGATGCTCTGAACTTTGTTTTTTGTAGAAGTGCACCCAAAAAATTAACTGTATTGATATCACTGGGTTTTTTTTAATATTATTTCAGATGGCTAAACAGAATTAATATGCTTGCTGCTGGCTATGCAGAAAGAGAGAGGATCAAACAAGAGCAAGGTAAAGTGTTATTTTGTCTTATCACAAGTTCATCTGTTCTTTTTTCCCTGCTGTGTATCAGGCCTCATTCTTGTCATCTGAAAACAGTTCATATATGAGTATCACTGTTGTGGCTTTAGAGAATTCCTTCTCTTTCAGCGGTTCTGATTAGTTTCTTCAGATTCTGATCCACAGGCACTACATCATTTCTGAGAAGGCCACAGAAGGGAGCTAAAAGCAGCCAATGTATTGCCAGTAAGCTCTGTTATGTGGTAGCAAGGAGTCTGTGACCTCTATCAAGACTTAAGAATCTGCAACTAAAAACAAATTTTAAATGCTGCATTTGATGTTTGAATTCCGAGGACAGGAATGCATGAAACTGGTCTCAAAAAGAAAAAATAAATAAATAAATAAATTAAACCAACACCACCAACATTCTGCCTGCTACATACTTGAATTTCCCCTAAAGACTTTAATTTTGAGGTCATTAAATTTTTTGTTATTTCTCCTGCTTTTGCTATACTGAGATGTTTGCTAACACTCTGTTGGCATTGCATTTGAAATTGCAGGTCTACAGCATTTTTTATCACTTTATTTTTAATGTCTAATATTTCATAGGTTTAAAAAAGTGTCATATGTAAAATAATGAGTCACTTTAGTTTGCTGCAGTAGAAATCCTGTTTGCACACAGGAAAAAAAAAAGAAAATAAGAAAAGGAAAGACAAGAAAAAAAATGGTCAGTCCTCAATTGTTTTGGAGAGGTTGTTTCCTAGAATTGCCAGTGACACAGATCCACAGAAGTGTTCCTATCCAATTAGGTGTTCTGGCAAGCAGCTGGCTTTTGAATCCATGCTCTTTTTTAGAACTGTATCTGGCAGCAGGCACTTGAAAATTGCACTAGTCGTGATGATGCAGAGCTTGTCCAGAACAGTGCCTGCCTGTTCCCCAGTAAGTCAAAACCTCACTTTTTAATTCTGAGGCTCTGCAGCCTTTTATCAGTAAGGTTCTGATTTTTAGCCCAAAAGGCTTCTAGCTTGGACCTGCAGGAGCAATGTATTTGTCTAGCCTTTTCTTTAAAAAGACTATATTTCTAACTATTTTTCAGGGAGAGGTATGTTCAAAAGGCTATCACTGGGCTTCAAAATATGCCATGTGGTGTCCTCCGTGTCCCCCCAGGCTTTGTACCGACCTATGTGACAGCAGCCGTAGCCCTGAGCTTACATGAAGAGGAAGATGCATGTGGTCTGTCTCTCTGCAATGTGTTGCTGCAGTGCCATTTTCCTGGGAGACACTGCAAAGCAATCCTTTCCCCAGTTCAAAGTAAGGGTGACTTTGGCAGCCAGCTAGAAACCTCAAGAGAGTAGGGTATTCTGTAGGGGTAGAAGATTAAAAGACAACATCAGAAAATTATGTCTGCCTTGTTTCATTCCCTGTTTGCCTCGCCACAAAACATCCTAGAGGGATCAGTGTGGGGTTGAAAAGCAGTGGCTTACAGCATACTGCCATAATTCAGTGGTAGCAGTATGTGTGGGAAGGTTTTGGGGCATTCTGTCATTTTTGCACATAACTAGGTTGTACCTGCTGTTGCCTCATGGCTTATTGTGTTTTCCAGTAAGTGCAGCTACCTATCCTAAGAGTGTTGCCCACACACCCTGTTTTAGGCTGGTATAGTTCTTGGCACATCGTGTAATTCATACACCAGGCCCTCCAGAGCCCACGATAGCAGCACCATGCTCACTGTTCCTCCAGTCAGGTTCTCAGTGCCTCACCAGACTTTAAAATCAGTTTGGAAATCTGTACTCCCCAAGCAGCATTACAATAACCAGTTTGGAGGGACCTGTATACCATCTGTCACTGCTTGAAGAGTCTGTGAACAAACTGAATCTTGGAGTCTTCTAGGAAATCCTCTGTGTTAGCATTCAAAGCCAAATTCAAACTTTTATTGGCAGCGGGTTGGCACTAGAATTACAATAACATATGGGACAGTAAGGGAGAAGGTGTGTGAACAGTTACACCAACACTGTCCAAGTGCACAACTGCAGGCATGATATACCTTTCGAAATGCAGATGGGTGTGAAGAAATATTTTTGCTACCAAGCAATCACTGGGTAATAAAATAGCAGGTGATCCGGCTCCTAGACCTGAGCTCATGTGCATTCAGGCCTCATGTTACCTATTATTGAAATGTCTTCCTATAGAAGATAATCAGTGAGACCCCATTTACTATGGAAATTACATGCCAGGCACTGACTAAGCTCCTTATTACCACTCTAACACCATTCACTCAAAATGATATATCATATCCAAGTAGCTAAAACTATATTCCCTTTGTGTTGCTTTGTCATGTTTAGTGTGGGAATCAGTATCACATTCCCCCCTCGCTGCCACACAGCGTTTCTGTGCTTCTGGTGATTATCCTTGGCTCCCAGCACAAGGGCTATTAAACAGCTCAGCAGTGTCCCTAATTAGCAAAGGCATCAAGTGAGCAAAGTTAAGCCTCTCTATCACTTGAAGCATTTTTGCAGTTATAAAAACTGTGAAGCTGGAATTTTCTGTATTCGATAACTGTGCTAATAGTCATCTACATATTTGATTTTACAAAAGGTCTTTTATTTCTGTTCAGTTCAGCTCTGTGCAGCAAAGCTTTATGATACCTCTGAAAGAATTCAAAGATAGTTGTCAAACCTGTTTCAAATAGGAGTTGAAAGGTTCTGAATCTAAAGTGCCTAAATATATTTCAAGTGCTTAAGAGATGCACGAATCACCAAAGTGTGGGTGTACTGCTGAATAAACTGTCACATTCTGTACAGAAAAAATTTGTAAAAATACCATCAGCTTTCCATATTGAATATAATGAATGTTAGCAATAGGGAAAGGACTTCCTTGGGTAGGGGAGTTAAACTTCCCAGTCATATAAAATCAGAGCTAAAAAATACTAGCTTATACAAATAGAAAATATTTAATTGGCAAACGGCAGGTGGGTGTTAGTTTCTTTGTAGTATATGCAATCTTTTGCTCATTTAGAGAGCAAAATATTTCAAGATATGACCGATGCATTGAGCTTGTCCATCACTCAACTGGACAAAATCTGCAGAGAGAAATATGACATAATACACATTTTAGATAGACTCTAACGAACCAGTTGCCAAAAGCAGAACTCTATTTTCATACATTTCATCCAGAAGGTGACCCCTGTAACTGCAGAATTTTTCTAGACAATCTGTAGGTTACCAACAGAATTCCCTATCTGAGGTAAGGTGTGCAAAAAGCATGATCATACAGGGTTTTATTTTATGTGGATTTGATAGCAAGAACATCTTTTTAGCCAAAACTGGAAACTGCAGTGAGGCTGCTAGATTTTACTTTCAGAATAAACAGTTGAGCTCCAAGTCTGCAGAAGTGTCACTGAGTGATGCAGTTCTGACAGGCCTCTCGCCTCACATTGTGCCATTAAGCTTTGCTGTAATAGGAACCAACATGCTTATCTGCCAATATTTTCAGGTGTTTTGAGCTGCTGAAAACAAGTTTTCTTAAAACTAGGAGTGATTTTAAAAAGAGATTTCACTGGTTTAGTCTTTCATTCACCAAAAATAAATTATTTGCAGATTTGTAGAGACGAAACTACTTGGAATTTTTTATTTCCTAGTCATGAAAAATTTATTTATGCTATTTATTTATTATACTGTTTTGAAAGAGAACCTCTCTGCTGTAAGCTTACAGGAAGCATCAAGAGATTCAGAGGTAATACAGAGTTGTTACTGTGTAGAAAAAAAAGATAAATAAGGCTGTTCCTACCACTATTACAGTCTAAGAATATACAAAATTTTAGAGACAGCTCCTTCAAGATGGTGTCAATTATGGTGTCAAATCTTGAATGAGACTAGGTACAGTAGATCATTAATCATACAATACAATAATCACCGTAGTAACAAAAAATCATTAAAGCCAGAATTATATGTTGTGCAAGCTTGGATTTTTGGTTTAGATCATTTATGAAGCAGCGATCAATCTTCTCCTCATCTATAAAAGGTAGTTAGTCATGTAGTTCATTAAACACTTACTAAGTGAAGTGAAAATTGCCTGTGATTATTCTGTGAATAGTCTGACCTGAAGTGTCCTGTTATGCAATGATTTACCCAAATACTAGAAGGTAGCACTTTCAGAAACAAAGTGGCAACAAAAATGTTTGCATAAGCCCTACAGTGTGTGGAAATGTTAAAGTTATCCATCTTGAGCCCAGCTGGCGGTTAAGTAGTTTTCTTTTGTAAGGACTATTGAGGTCGGTCCAGTGTCTATTTAAATAGATGCTATTGTGCTTCAGAAATATTTGCAACAGAATAAATATAAGTTCACATGGCACATTCTTCCACCCATTTTCCCCTTTGACCAAGCTACCCAATATAGGAAAAGGGCTTGGCCAAGGCTTGATTTCCTGACTAGGTGAAATTTCATATCCCATTAAATTTAGCCCACAAGATCTGCATCCATTGTACTTTCTCATCTGTCTTTTGGAACTCTGCACTTAAACGTCATTGTCATATTTTTCCTTACCACATCACCTTTGTGTTCATGCATGGATAACATGGGCAGCAGCTGTTTTATGAAGCATATATACGATATAAAGTTTTTCTGTCTTCTCTTAAATTCAGCTGATTGTTTTGGAAATTTAGCTGAAAAGCTTGGGTAACCAGTAGTAGACAACAGAAAAAATGGGTAGAAAAATAGTGTTGATTATTCATGTATGCAATAACCCCTACTTGTTTGATTTGCCAGTTAGTGTTAATTACATTTGTTCATGTTATTTGCAGTCAAGAAGACTTTTAGCAAGTTACATTTTCTCATCTTTTCTGTTTGAAAAATACTTTCAGTATTTTCCAGGCAAAATGCGGCCAATCATAATTACTTTCAGGGGTTTATAAATATTTGAAAATCTGGTCCTTGCATTAGGAGTATACTGTATGCATGGTTTATTTATAAGGTGTGTACAAGAGTTAATTTGTTGATCATTTGCAGGTTGTTGTTTCGTATCTCTGCAGTGGGGCATTAGACTTGGTGTACCCCATAATATTTTGCATTTTCCCTCTTTGGATTAAAACTATTCCAAATCACAGTGGCTAACATTACAGAGTCACTAGTATTTAACTCTCAGTAATACCAAGGATGGAGTCTCCAGTTGCTTTTGTGAAAGCAAGTCCCCGCTGTACAAACGTATCAAAATGTGTTGGTGCTTTTTGATCTGATGCGTATGTAACTTGTAGATTACTGGAGTGAGAGTGATAAGGAGGAAGCTGACACTCCATCAACACCCAAGCAAGACAGCCCACCGCCCCCGTACGACACATACCCACGGCCTCCTTCAGTAAGTAACCTGCAATTGTCTACAGGGATGACTGTGTAGTAAAGTGTCACTTTTACCCACTATGCTGCTTAAAAGCATGTGCATGCACACCTTATGGCACTCCCCAGTAAATTTTTGGAGTCCGTACTTGACTTAATGCATTTGTTAAGCAACATACATCGCTAACTTCAGCAACCATCAGTGCTTCTGTCACTGGTTTGCAGAGAATGTGTGTTTATCATCCCACTCACTGTACGGAATAGACTGTTACAGAATTCTTTCTTCCTGTTCTTCATGCATGATAGACCCCAACTCATCCATGCAATCCCTCCGCAGCCCCGTACTGACTTCCCTGAAAAAGTGTTGTTACTTCAGTAACAACACTCTTCTCTATGGCTCCAAAAGTTGTGCTGTGAAGCTTTACAGGAACAAATTACAATTCGGTTTCCAAAGAAATGCCAACCTAAAAATGTTCTGTCTTATATTGCAAATGATGATACTGTTCTGTTGTGAAAAAGTGAGTTTCTCTATAAACTAGAAAAAAAAGAGGATTTGAGTTTTATTTTCTTCTGAAAGCAGTTGTTGATTTAGAACAAGAGTACAGACTTCTAACTTATTCTGCAGTAGCAGTTTTCATTTTCATGGCCATATACTCAGACAGTGTTAACTTATGTGTTCTGCTTGAATATAGTTTTAAAAAGCAAGAATTCAGAATTAAAAAACGGGAAAACCAGGGGAAAGATCACATTCATGATGGTTTTTTTGAATACAATACTTTATCTTCCAAAATGATAGATTTTTTTGAACTGAACCAAAGCACTGCAAACACAATTCCAAAGAAATTTTTAGCAAGATAAGTTGACAACAGGCATCTGGATGGCACTTCTAAGGTTTTTAACGGCCCAGGCACATCTCTTCTGTGTTTTCCATAGTGCCATATTCTGCAAAGTTTTCCGCAGATAATTTTCATGGCTTATTTTATAGACTAAGGAGCATAATAAAGATATACGTTATGGATAAGTATCAGTGTTTGTCCTCCAGGTGTGATACATGGCTATTGGCATGCCTTAAAGTTAGGATCAGGGCCGGCTAATTGGGTAGGTTTGTGCCTTTTTCACTAAGCTGGGTGCCATCAGCGACAACAAAAAGTACCCGAGGATTACTAGCAGTAGGTTTCAGTCTGCAGCGGTCTGAAGGTTGCTCTGTCGCTGACGTTGCAGATGAGCTGCACGAGCCCCTACGTGGAGCCCAAGCACAGCCGGCTCTCCTACACCGAGACGC